AAATATTTAGCTAGTGATGTTCTCAATGGGCAGATCTCTTACTTCTGGATCAGGAGTGTCCCAACAAAAGGAGCTGTGCTACTCAATGAGAGACAACACTAGTACCCAAGCTACTTGTGATCACTCAAGATCTTGTAACTCTTTGCAAGAATTAAGATGTTACCCTGATGTCCTGGCCAGTAGAGAGAATCATTTACATCCCCCTAAGGATTTCAGTCACACTTCATTGGTATACAGGGCAATATACCTCTAAATAGCTTCTATGTTCACCCCAGAGATGATTATTGCACTTCACTGGTGGATGACATAAACCCTGAAGACTTTGCAGATGAGTTCAAGTTAGGAGTGCACCAATATATCAGTTGGCTATCGAATCGGCATCGATAAAAGGAGAAATGACATTATTGGCTTTTGGCTTTTTTGGTCATTGTAGCCAATAATTATAGCCATGTGGCTGGAGCACCACGGAGTGGTCACAGGGCGCCGCACTTATTACCAGCTGCTGCTGCTGTCACTGCCATAGAAACACTGTGTGCGAGTGCTGGGCTGCCGCAGAGATGTTGGACTGTGTGTGGGCAGGGTAAAGCACCGCGCGCAGTTCATTCTGCTCCGCCAGGCGCCTTTGCAAAAGCGACTTCTCCCCAGCGGCCGTGGAAGCTCAGCTGAGTGGGGCCCACCAGCACTGGGGCTCCAAACATGCCTGGTGCCGCTGTCTGTGTGAAGGTCTGCCCTGCCTGCCCAGGACGGCAGCACAGGCTGCGCGGGGAGTGGGACTACGGGTAGGAGCTGTGAGTGAGGGAGCAATGTGCATGGGAATATGGCAGTCACCACCTTCCTCATCAAGGGCCAGAGCAGGGTTATGTCACTAGTTTAAAATACCTTGCACTATTACTAAATATCAGTTATCGGATTGACATCGACCAATGTGGTTGGTTCATCATCAGCTATCAGTATCGGCAGAAAAATCTTTATTGGTGCACCCCTAGTTTAAGTGCCTTGGGAATTCTGCAAGATGAAATGTGAGTTCGCAAGGCTGAGTTCAGTCCCAGCCTTGCAATCCTAAATCTTCAGACATTTAATACGTAGCTTGGTGACATTTTCATAAAGGCGCCCAACTTGACTTTTCCATGATGCAGGCAGAAAGAATGCCCAAATTTCCACTGGAACAGCAACAGGAGGACATTGTGCAGTCTCTTCTATGTGTCTTGCCCCGACAATGCATTCTTTGCTATATCTGCTGTATTCTTTGGATCTTTATGTCACATCATGGAGATCTGGCTAGTCTAAATAAAGCCTTCTCGTTAGTACTGCCATCACTCTTTCTGGAACCTCCTATAATATAATGAACTGAAGCTGACTAATATGCGTCTTGCTAAAAATAGGCATCTGTTTACATGGTGATGTCTGTAGCAGGGTAAAATGTTGAAGAAAAATTTAAACTATCTAGGAGTGCCATGTCTAGTTTGTGCTGGCTCTGATGTACCAGCTAGTTCTTCAGATGCAGCTTAAATCCCAGCTGCTTGTCATATTTGGGCTATTAGAAGTGGGAGCTGTCAGAACAGTAGAGGAACAAAGACTCCAGTATCCCAACCATACCTCCTTTTAGTAAATGATGTTCTACCACCTAACAGTAGACCCTTCCTGCAGCATCAGTTCATGGCATTCTTTACTTCGCACCCTTGACTTTGCATCCTTGACTGTGGATCACTCAGTATCACCCTCATTCCACCTAAAACGTTATCAGCAATGGATGCCCTTCGCACGGCAGGCCTATGGAAGTGCCTGTAGGTCCATCTGAAGATCTGTGACTTGGAATGCAAGTGAGACTTCCCTGTGGGCACCGATTTATATACGTGATCCACTCAGACTCACTCCATTTCTAAGCAACTGGCATTCCAGCTTCCTCCGTGCAAATCCCTGTCCCCGGAAACGCACTGAGGATTGAGCCGTTTATTCTCCACCGAGGCAGTGAGCTTGGTGTGTTCCATACTACATGATTCGTGTCGGGGCTGGAAGGGACCTTGTAGATCATCGGGTCCTGTCCCCCTGCACTAGACAGGAAAGGACAACTGGGGTCAAGTGACAACTGTCCAGTGTCCTTTTGAAGATTTCCAGGGTAGGCGACTGCACCACCACTGGAGGGAGTTTATTCCACAGTCTGGACACCCTGACTGTGAAGGAGTTTTTCTTGGAATTGAGCCTAAAGTGGCCTTCCAGGAGTTTGTATCCATTGCTCCTGGTCTTCCCCAGGGGTGCCCTGGTGAACAGCTGTTCACCGAGTTCTTGATGTACTTCCCTGATATAACGATAAGCCGCTATCAAGTCCCCTCTCGCCCTTCTTGTTTGTAGGCTGAAGAGGCCCAAGTCCCTCAGCCTCTCCTCATATGGATTGTCTTGCAAGTGCCTGATCATACGGGTGGCTCCTCTTAAATTTCATGATCATAATCTTAAGATCATATGGGTGGACGCTCTTAAGTTTTTCCACGTCCTTGTTGAAGTGCGGCGCCCAGAACTGGACGCAGTACTCCAGCTGTGGTCTCACCAGTGCGGACTACAGTGGAAGTATCACTTCCTTAGTTTTGCATGAGATGCAATGGTTAATGCATGCCAGCGTGTTTGCACTGCTGACCACAGCATCGCACTGCCGGCTCGTGTTCATGCGATGGTCAATCACTCCCCCTAGATCCCTTTCAGCCGTAATACAAATCAAATTGTCGCCACCGAGCCTGTAGGTATGTTGGAGATTGTTTGCCCCCAGATGGAGCATCTTACACTTCTGAGCGCTGAACTTCATCTGGTTCTGGTCTGCCCAACTCTTCAGCCTGGCCAGGTCTGCCTGTATCTGCAACCTATCTTCTGGCGTGGCCACAGTCCCCCATAACTTGGTGTCATCTGCAAACTTGGCCAACAAGCTTTTCACCCCCGCATCCAAATCATTGATAAAGATGCTGAAAAGCACCGGTCCAAGCACAGACCCCTGAGGGACACCACTGGCTACTTCTTGTCCGGACGAGACAGATCCGTTCATGAGAACTCTCTGGGTCCTGCCATGCAGCCAGTTTTCCACCCACTGAACTGTTGAGCAGTTAAGCCCACAATGATACTCTCCATTCCAGGGAGAGATGAGGTTATTCAATGCACAGAGCCAAATTCTGCTGTCAGTCATTGGTGTAAATCTGTAGCAGCCCAGCTGACTTTGGCTGAGCTGCACTGGATTTGTACAGGTATAAGAGAAGTTAATATTTCATCTTTATAGCTTCCAGTCTAATTAAATAATAATGCTGAAGTCACCAAGGCAAGACTACAGATTGTAATTTGTCTGGGCTACGAGAAGTCACTTTCTCTTTCCCAATATTTAACTGTTGTGTAATGATTGCATTTTTTTCTTATGAATATGATTCCATGAACTGGTGCCAAAGAGAGAAGGAATTTTGTTGCACTGATAAGATGTTTACATCAGCCTAAACATTGCTGGAGCATTTGACATATTAAGTAACCTCGAGTTCTCCTGTTCACCCAAGCAAAAGACAGTGCTGGGTGAATGCTTGGCAGCTTGCACAAGTGGTACGGGAATGAATCTCATTCACAAATAATAACACTGATGTGTAACTCCCACACACGGGGCTTGGACAAATGTATGCACCTCTTGGAGTGTCCTGGGAAGAACTCAGCTATTTCCTGCAGTGAGTGTATCTCCTAGGAATCTGCACTGGGAGGGCTGACCACCCCACGGGAGGGAAGAATGTGTTTAAAGAGCACATGCTGGAAGCTGTATGTAAAGGCCAGCCAGTGCTTTACCACGCACTGACTCCCACCTGTTTTGGGTTCATTACCCCTTTTCAAGTTTGGTGCATTGCCATAAACCCCTCTGTGTCTGTGCTAACAGAAAAAGGAAGGCTTTATGTCACTGCATCACAATAACCCCTCCAGCTCCCTAAAAGAGAGTGCCAGGTTGTCCTTCACTTTTTTTTTTCCTCCACATATATTCCCTCTTTTCCCTTTGTCTGCTGACTTCTTCCTTCCTTCCTTCCTTGCTTGCTTGCTTCCTTCCTCCCTCCTATGTGCCCTGGAGAAGCTTGTATACACACCTGGAGACACAGTCTGAGAAACCCTGTGCTTAAGAGCAAGACAGGAGCAAGGCCCTGATTATCTGCTGGTGAAAACAGGTGTCACCCTGCTGACCTTAACAATGCTACTTTGGTTTACCCCAGCCAGGAATCTGGGCCCTAACATACACCATCTGCATAACCTAATGTATCTTTAACGTGCTTGTACAGTGTGTGTCATGCTCTTAAAGCTGATTCACAGAAAGGATTAAACAACCTGCAGCTAGTGCCAGATAAGAGACCGCTGCTATGGATCAAGTAATAGCATTCTGTACTTTGGAGCTGAAGGCTCTGGGTTCAAACGGTGCTGACCAAAAAGGGGCAGGAGCAGTAGGTGTACAACACAGAGATGGGAGCCAAACGGGATACATTCAGACTGTTTCCCATCTTGTGGAGGTTACACCTGGAAAATGAGTGAGTGGTTCACGCTTTACCAGAACACAGAAAAGGTCCTTTATATTCTGTTGAGGGGTTGCAGGCCTCGGTGTGTCCTTGGCAGGGGCAGAGACCCTTTCAGTACAAGAGATCCAGAGATAATAATAGGATAACACTACAGATATGGGTTGTGATTTTGTATTTTTCCCAAATCCCTTGCTTCTTCTTAAATCAGAAGGGAAGTGTTCGTACCCATATTGAGCTAGTGTCAGCAGCTATCCAAGATGAGGGGCAATGAAGGATTGGGCTTATGCTGCCCATATTTGAGGTGCTGAGAGCACTGTTGGATGCCACAGAAATTGGTCCCTTTCCTAATGGGTAGGTTATAATGGAAGCCCAGTAGTGGCCTCCTCAAGGGAACAGAGAGTGGAAGCCTTCATGACATTGCATTTGGGACCCTGAAGTTTCCTGTCCAAAAGACATAACCCTTTGTTTGCCTGTGCACTTTTGTCCTTGCAGAATCACATCCTGACCCTGATGGCTATGGCTGCTTGGATCTACAAGCACCCCAGCCTGAAGAACTCCATCAACCTCGTGGTGGTGAAGGTGCTGATTATCGAAGATGAGAAGCTCGGGCCAGAAGTGTCGGATAACGGAGGGCTCACACTCCGCAACTTCTGCAACTGGCAGCAGAGCTTCAACCCTGCTAGCGACCGTCACCCAGAGCATTTTGACACGGCCATTCTGCTGACAAGACAGGTTTGCAGCTGAGCCACCTAAATCAATGCAGGGCCTAGCCTGAGCGGGGCCTGGAGCAGAGATCAAGCAGAATTGTGTTCATCAAGTCCATCATCCTTATTTGTGTTATAGCAGGCCCCTGGGGGAGGACATCCATTGAACTAGGTGCTGAGCATCCAAATAATAAAAAATGGTTCCTGTCCAGACAGCTTGTCGTTTATACAGACAAAGCAGATTAGGGAACGACTGTTATCCCCATGTCAGCAATGAGAATGGAGAAGCGCAGTGATTTGCCCAAGGAAACAGGGAGCCTGGAGCACGGATGGGAATGTCAGAAGTATTTCCTGGTTCCCACCAGTGCATTGCCCACTAAGCCACTCTTTTTCTCCATGAAATGTCTTCTGGCTGACCCATCATGAGGCATCCAGCAAAGGTGTCTCTGGAGAAAGGGAGGAGATGAAAATGGCTTGGATATGAATTATTCCAAAGCATCAAGTTTCAGAAGGCTAAGAAGAGAGGAGACCACTTGTTCTATTAATCATTAATCACTAAAGTCAATGAATAGGTCACTGCTTGGCTCATTTGTTATCATATCTCAAATTCTGGAAAACGAGAGAGGGCAAAGCTCTGGGATTTGGTTTGTCTGCACAAAGGAGCTTGGCAGGGTGGGCTGGGAACTTGGCAGTGCTATCCCTTGGCAGGAAAGTGCAGAAGGAGGCTGCTTTTGGCATATTATGCAGCACAACACAAGTTGTCCTACAAGGAAAAGCTAGGAGTGGGATCAGGCACTGGGTTTCCAACCTTCCCACTGAAAGGTATGCAAACTGAATGACAGGGACATCCCAGTAGTGCTATGAGCCCATGTCACAGGGAGAGGAATCACATTGGGTCCCTACTCTCTCTTATCTTATGTCCTCTGATGCTCTCTTCAAACACAGGATTTCTGTGGGCACCAAAGCTGTGACACTCTGGGTGTAGCTGACATCGGCACTATGTGTGACCCCAAAAAAAGCTGCTCTGTGATCGAAGATGAGGGCCTCCAAGCTGCCTACACCCTGGCTCATGAACTAGGTAACTCCTTCATCACTTGTGTGTGAGGGATAGTCAATAGGCCTGCACAAAGTGCCTAGTATTTGCTTTGGATTCGGCTGATTCGGGGGACAGTGATTCAGTTCAGTGATTCAAATCACTGTCCCAAATCGATTTGGCTGCATCTGATTCAGAGATTTGGCTGCTGCCAAATCTCCAAATTGCACAGACCCCATCCTCCACCCACTCTCCCTGCCCACCCCAGCTCCCAGCACTTTGAAAAAAAAACCCCAGGCTCACCAGGTGCTGCCGGGCGGGGGGCCATCCCCACTGCCCCCCACTGGCCCACGCCGCGTGGGGGGCTCTGCATGAGCCCCATTCCCCCCATGGCTGCCCTGCCCACCCCAGCCCCGGCCCTTTAAGAAAAACAAAAACCAAAAAAAACCACACTCACCAGTTCCTGCCCCCCCACTGCCCTGCACCACATGGCGGGGGCTCTGCACGAGCCTCCCGAAGCCCCGAGCTTTTATTGGGCCAACTGTATAGTTGGGATGGAGTTAGATGAACTGAAATGCAAGACTTTCTTGATGAGGTCTGAGAGTGAGCTTGAAGGTGGAGGGGGCAGGGAAGAGAACGAGCTGCTAATGTTCAGGCTGCCTCTCATATTCCAGGGCACGTATTCAGCATGCCCCATGATGACTCCAAGACCTGTGAGCGACTTTTTGGGCCTCTGGGCAAACATCACATGATGGCTCCTCTCTTTGTCCACTTGAACAAGACTCTGCCCTGGTCCCCCTGTAGCGCTATGTACATCACAGAGTTTCTAGATGGAGGACATGGTAAGAATCACCCCCGTACTCGCAGGATGCCTGGGGTTGTTTCAGACCACTGCCACACATGCTGGAAATGGTCATTCTGGGCCAGACTTCCCAGCACCCAGCAGGCTCAGGCACTCATGAAAATCCCACTAAGCAGTCCTTTCACCTCTAGTCATGTAAACCTGGCTCTGGGTTTTCATGTATGGTCATCAGGCTTTCATTCCCTGTCCTCATAATGTTACAGTGTGGTGGGCTGTCAGGCACCATTGCCACCCTGCTCCCATTCAGCTGTGTAGACAGGCTTAATATGCTATTAGGCTATATCTCCATGGCAAACTGATCGTACAGACTTGGGGTACTGTTTTTCTCACAAATGATTCATCACAGCCACTATGGACTTGAGCATTACCAGAGGGTCTTCCTTGCTGCACATCTTCCATTAACTTCCCTTGCCAAAATAACTGGAATAAAAAAGCAATTGCAATTGCTAGGAATCACTTTGCTTGGGGAGATGGGAAGGACAGCCTTGATGCCTGCTGAATAGACCTGGTGTAGAGATGCTATAATCAGCTGTGGTAAACAGCAAGTGAGAAACACCTTGGAGGATCTAGTGGGGAGTTTGGGGAGCAAAGGCATTGTCAGGTCTAACAGCACTGGCTGTGATCTAAGAGCTCGGCAGCAGCTGGCAGGTTTCTACCAACTGCAAATGTCCTGACAGCTTTGCATCAGGAGAGCAGGCTGTGCGTAGGAAACTGCAGGAGAGCATTTACTACAGCAGAGCTGAGGGAGATGCGCAGGCATGGAACTAGAAAAACCTGGTTAAATGTAGTAAAAATGTGTGCTGACAGGGGAGCAGAATGAATGGGGGAATTAGAAGTGAAGATGCATGTGCAGAAAAGGGTCATGGAAGATATAAATCAGGAAACCAAAAGTTTGTTGAAGCTGAAAAGTCCCTAGTGCTGGAGGTGACCGTAGTCCATAGAAAACAATAGGCTTCCTGTTTGCATGGAGTTGGGCACTGCAGGGGCCTGCCGGCTTCTTTGTGTCCAGCTCACCTTGCATTTGCATCCATTTCCCAATCAGGAGATTGCCTCCTCGACGCTCCAGCCAAGCTCATCACCCTCCCCACAGACCTGCCAGGCCAAGTGTCCATCTACAGCCTGGACCGTCAATGCCAGCAGATCTTTGGCAAGGAATTTCGGCACTGTCCGAACACCACCGAGGAGGATGTCTGCGCTCAGCTGTGGTGCCGGATGGAGACAGGAGAGCCTCTCTGTCACACCAAAAATGGCAGCTTGCCCTGGGCGGATGGCACACCCTGCGGGGCAGGCAGGCTGTGCTGGGAAGGCATCTGTGTGCTAGGGAACATGGCAAAGCCCCAGGTAACTGGCTGGTGGGATGGAAATGATCTGTGTCTGCAGAGGAAGCTTCTTTCCTGCAGGGAAGGGGCCTGTTCCCCATCATTCTCTTCCATTGCCGCTGAGGGGCCGGCATTGCCAGCTGTGAGGGCCACAGCAATAAAACTCACACTTCCATGCACTAAGACATTGCCACAGTTCTCCCCAAGGGGCCAGGAAAGCATCATGATCCTGGATGGGGACAGGGAGGCAGAGAGCTGAATTGACTTGCTCAGGGCAGCACGGTGAGTCGTTAGCAGGGATGGGCTTAATCACAGAATCACAGAAAGTTCAGGTTGGACGGGACCTCAGGAGGTCACATCTAGTCCAAGCCCCTGCTCGAAGCAGGATCGTCCCCAACTAGATCATCCCAGAGCTTTGTCTAGCCAGGTTTTGAAAACCTTCAAGGATGGAGCTTCCACCACCTCTCTGCTCCAGTGTTTTACTACCCTCCTAGTGAGAAAATTCTTCCTAATATCCAACCTAAACTTCCCTTGCTGCGACTGGAGATCATTGCTCCCTGTTCTGTCATCTACCATCGCTGAGAACAGTCCAGCTCCATCCTCCTTCTGTAATTCTCAGAAATCCTAGCTCCCAGCCTTATTCTCTGCCCACTGCACCACAGGGCCTCCTGGTCTGTGTCTGAGGATAGTGACCCCAGACAAGTCCTCTCCTTTTCTCCAAGCAGACAGCGCAAAGTCTGGATATGAGGAAACCTGGGCCCTGATCCTGCAATCCAGCCTGCCATGGTAGATCCCTGTGGTGTGGGCAGGGGCAGGGGTCCCCACTAGCACATCCAATTGCAGGATCAAAGCTTGTGCCAGTTAGGATGAGGCTCCTTGACTCTGCAATTTGCAAATGAAGCAGCTCATGTTACTACCTTGGGTTCCCTGTTCCACACTAATCTGTATCCAGGAAAGGCTATTGTCTTCTGATTTGCCTGGTTTGTTTTTGAATCTCCTCTCAGGCAGCACTTGCCACTGAGATCATCTCTACTGTGGCCTGTGCTGGGCCAGGCCAACTCACGGAGTCACTCTGCAGTGAATTTCCTGATGACTTGTGCTGGCCTGAACTGTCAACTCCAGGAAGACTGTCATTAAGTCATTTTCTTTCCCCTCTGGGAATATACATGAAGACAAACTACTGCTGAAGCAGCCCCTAGCCCAGCAAAATGCTTACAGCAGCTTCAGCAAATAGGCTCATCCGTGCCAATGGTACTTAAATCCCTGCATAAGTGCTAGCTGCATCAGGGCCGTACTTAGTATTGTCAGGAGCGGAGGGGATATGTGCATGTTACTGGTGCCTGCAGCCTTCGTTTGCCTTCTATATTTATAGTACAGGACCAATAGTAGGCATCTATCTGTCTTGTGAGACAATGAAATTGTGCCAAGAACACAACTGAATGTTCAAAACTTGCTGAATGTAACCCTCACTTGAAGATAAAATGAAGCCGGAGTGACCTCTTCAGGGCACAAAAGCCTGGGCAGTGTATATGGCCAGTGACAAAGTCAGGAGCTCAAGTCTCTTCCCACCGACAACAGCCTTGTGCAGTGCCATTGGCTTTCAGGGCGTTGTGACCAAGCTCAGGGTTGTGAATTGGGTTGTGCAGGTTGGCTCTTGTGTTGCCCACAGAGTGCTCTACGCTCCACCCAGGCCGCAGGATGAGGGCAGACAAATCAGCTCCTGTAGGGTGCTGGAGATGTGTTTGCAGTCAGGCTGTCCTGCATCCCTGTGCTGGTGTTTGTGAGCACCACAAAGTCATGCTTTCAGCTCCTAGAAAACAGATGGGGCGGCTGCTTTTCTTTTCACATTCTGGCTTGGTAAAACCTTTGCTGGTTCCATTCCTGTATTTTGACATGAATGCAACCCCTGCTCCATCCCCCTAGCCCTGCATGTTGTTTTTCAGTTCTGCCATGTGTGGAACAACGCACTAAGCACGTGCCTTATACTTGTTAACAAACCACTACAAAGAGTGACCCAGTCTCTATGGCAAGATCAGCGCAAAGCCAGGCCAAGTTGGATACTAAGCCTCTCTCCCTGTCTAGCAAGTATTCGGAGGACCTGAACCCAGGAGGGGCTGAGCACATGCAGCTCATATAAAGCAAAATCTTGGCAGCACTTCTGTATTTCCATTGACGGTAGCGAAGCCAGGATTTCAACCGCAGAGCTGAACACAGGCTGATGGTGCTCATCACCTCTTCGGTAGTAGAAAGCAGGAAGGTACAGAGGCAGCTGTCTGGAGGGCAGGACCAGTCAGCTCAGCAATTTGGCCCACTCCAGGCTTCTCACTCAGGTCTTGAGACCTGCTCTCTGTCTTGCTCCTTAATCAGTCTTGGTCTCTTGTCATATAGCACCAGTAGGTATTTCTTGTTGTGGCCATTTGAGGGACGCTTCTGTGAGCTCACAGCTTCTTGAACCTTGGCTCTAGACAGTTGCTGAAGGGCAGGGGCTCCAGAGGTGAGGACCTTCCCCTGGGAGAGGCTTACCAGCTAGGCGCCATCCTGGTGAACCCTGCACAACTCAGCTCTCAGATAAAAAGCATCTTACACCTTGAGAATAAGGTTTCAAAGCTGCTCAGGAGTTGATATGCCCAGGTCTTATTTGTTTTCATGGGAACTAGATGTCTGAAGAGGAGATTTTCAAAGACACAAAAGGCAGTGATGTGTCTAACTCCTTTCAGAAGTCAAAGAGAATTAGGACCCTAATTGCTGTTTGTGCCTTGCAAAATCCCCCACCCACATGCACAGCCTGAAATGGCCACAACTGTGTTTGAGCCCCAGACCCTTTGGGATGTCCCACAAATGATCTTCTCCTCCTGGCTAGGTCTGTGCAGTCCATTAAAACAAAGAGGGGTGGCTGTAATGAAGTGATTTGTGATGTCTTGCAGCCTGTGGTGGATGGAGACTGGGGGCCGTGGAGCCCGTGGGGCACCTGTTCCAGGACGTGCGGAGGCGGGGTGCAGTTTTCACACCGCAACTGCAACAATCCCGAACCGCGGAATGGTGGGAAATACTGCGAGGGCCAGAGAACCAAGTACCAGTCATGCCACACGGAGGAGTGCCCAGCCGATGGTAATCCACAGGTTCCCAGTAACGCTTGCCTTCACTTCCCTCCCCTTGATGTCCCTGCCTGTGTCCGGAGCAGCTCCAGGAACTGGCTTGGTGAAGCTGAGCCTGACATGAAAGAAGCCATTGTAGTGATATAGATATAATTATGAGGCATTATGGATGGCAGCAGCCTGTCTGTCTGACTGCCACCAGGCACTGGAGAAGTCAAGCGATAGGGAGACCAAGAGGACTCGGTCTGATACTGAGGCACCTACCAAGAGACGCCCCTCAGCAAGGTTTTGGAGGGACTGTACAGTCTGTTTCCTCCCATCCCAAATCTACCTGCAGGCTCAGTCTGCAAAGCCACCAGCTCTTCAAGGGCAGGGGTGGGCAATTAGTTGGGTTCAAGGGCCACATGTGGGGTTTTGATGAGCTGTCATGGGCCAGGTCAGCACCAGGGTGAGCAGCAGGCATGTTCACCGAGAAGATGAAGGCAGGGCAGATGTGCACCTTACAGACTAATTAAATCATTTATAGCATAAGCTTTTGTGAGCTCAGGCTCACTCCACCAGGTGCTGTGAAAGGACTGAGAGGATGCCATTCATAAGTGCTCGGTTAAATGATGAATTGCCCCTTGGGTCACCCTGGCACCTCTAACCAGTCAGCGAGAGAGACCGCAATTCCCCCCAAGCTGCCTTTTCCCCCAGCCCAGCCCCGCTGAGGACTATAAGGTCCTGCTTTTCCTTCCTTTCAGGGAAGAGCTTCCGAGAGCAGCAGTGTGAGAAGTACAACAGCTACAATTTCACGGATCTGGATGGGAATCTGCTGGAATGGGTCCCGAAATACACGGGTGTCTCCCCCAGAGATCGCTGCAAGCTCTTTTGCCGAGCCAGAGGGGGGAGTGAATTCAAAGTATTTGAGGCCAAAGTAAGATGCCTGCCTTTAATTCTTACTATTCTCCTTCCCTAAAGTGCCCCATGGCATCATCTCATAATTGTCACTCCTTTTCTACTTCTTATTGTCCAGGTGATTGATGGGACATTGTGTGGGCCAGAGACTCTCTCCATCTGTGTCCATGGTCAGTGCATCAAGGCTGGCTGTGACCATGTGATTGGGTCCTCCAAGAAGCTGGACAAGTGTGGGGTGTGTGGTGGCAATGGCTCAACTTGCAGGAAAATATCTGGTTCACTCAACAGATCCAAGTAAGCCATGGGGGGGACTGAATCCATCTCTGGGGCTCTGGGAGTATGAAAGAAAGGATTATGCCAAGGCTAGATGTCTGCCTTCCCCAGAGCTATCCTGCTTTCAAGCTGCTCAAGATCTGGCTTGTGGAACCAATTCTCTTAGTTGTACCCATGAAAATGTGCTGATTTCAGTGCATTTACAGTGTAGCTGAGAAGAGAATATAGCCACGTAGGTTGTTAACACAGGTTTTCTGGCCCACATGATGAGTAATTCATTACATTAGTAAAAGTCAAGGAATGCAAAACAATCCATTTACTCTTCTCCTTACATATAGTACCAAAGGTCTTAGGAAGGTAAACATACCACGTCATGTTGCTGCTGTACAAATGTCTCAGAAGCAATAAGGACATAAGCAAGAACACACATAGATAGTTAAATGCATCCTAAAGCCTCACTCTCAGGGATTAAGAACACTGGCCTGGCGCAGGTCAGGTTCACCTGCTACCATAACTTACAGTAAACGGTGCTACCTGTGACTGTTAACACTGAGTGCTGGCAGAGGTTAAATAACTTAGCAACCTCTAGGGTGCCAATGGCTCTGTGCACCTTAGAGAGGGGCACTACTCTTCCCCCCCCCTCGGGTGGAGGAAATGCCACCAAAAAGTTGTAGAACTGAAGTCCTCTCCATGATAGGGTAGACTAGGCTCTTTAACCCTGGTCGGCAGCCAGTCTAGAAACAAAGCCCCAATAGATGGACAAATGGATCATATCATTTACTCTGGCAGCTCCTGCAGCCAGGCTGGTTCCAGGTGTACTGGCACTTGTCTTTCCTTTGGATTAAACCAGCAAGGCCAAGAGGGGGACAGTGGTGTATGGGCAGTTCAGTGTCTCCAAATACACTGCCCAGGCTTTTGTGCCCTGGAGAGGTCACTCCAGCTTCACTTTATTTTCAAGCAAGGATTACATTCAGTGAGCTGATGTCTCACTCGGCGTAATTGTATTGTCTCATGAGACAGAGAGATGCCTAGTATATGTAATTAATTTTACTTTTTTTATTTTTGAATCAGCTCGGGCAGTGAAATCAGCTGCTCGTTTTTTTGTCTCTGGTCCATTACATACTCTGATTCCCAGATGCAGTCTCCATGAGTCTGCTGCATGAGGCCCAACACTGCAGGAAAACTTTTTTTAAAACCCATCCCTTTTCCATAGTCTTTTCTAACTGCCAGAGAAACACTAGGTCTGGTAAAAGCAATTTACTTTCACACCCAAGTTTTGAATCTTAGCTAGTTTTGAATCCTAACTGCTTGACAACCAACCTTGGATCCAATTTGTACCAACCTAATTGTAAAGTAACTCAGTGATTCTCAACCAGGTTCTGTGGCACCATGGGGTCCTTGCAGCCCTTGCAAGGGTGCCATGGGGTGCCTCTCAGGTTTAGCGCTGTTAGGTGTATAAACATGGGTCACAAGATAAACTTAGAGTTTTCACATAAGAATCCATAGTGTTAAAACCATGTGGCCTTTCTGAGATCTCTGCAGCAGAAGAATTGCTCTATTCGTTTTCTGTAGTCAACAAAGTATGAAACCTAAGAGCTGGCATTTCCTTGGGGGTGCCTCAAGTCTGGAGAGGTTGAGAACCACTGGCATAACTCCATTGTCTGCCAGAAAGATAACCTGGATTTGCAGCTATGAAAATGAGCTCCGAATCCAGCCAGGTGTAATCTCTGCTCGCAGTTCCACAGAGCTTTATGTTAAGTGTAACCCAAGCAGTGCTTACTGCCTCGGGTATGATCAGGTGCTGACATCGATGAGTTCTTGGTGCAATACCAGTTGTAAATAAAAACTCAGTCCCTGTCCTGAGGAGTGCAAACCTGAGGTCAGAGTGAATGTCACCCATGCTGGCACAAGGCTTATCATAGGCCGCAGAACAGGCTGGGCCACCCGGGCCATGGCCCGACCAATTTTTAGCACATTAATTTATATAACCCACAAATGCACAATTGTCCTTCCAGTTAAAACTGTATAGCTATTTTTTTCAAACTGCATAGCTATCTAAATTAACGTGCTAAAATTTGGTCGGGCCGTGGCCTGGGTGGCCCACCCAGTTCTGCGGCCTGTGCTTATTATCATTTCCCTTGGGGTAAAGTGGGATGTAAATGGCTAGACAACTTTGTGTTGGCTTTCAGCTCTGGGTGAATTCCAGCCTGTGTGCCAAAGCTTTGATATCAGTGAGCTGTGGCAACTTCTACCATGTGAATCTCTAAACCTCTTGGTTTAAAGGCTAAAGTTCAAGCTGAGTAAATCTAGCCCCGAAAACCCAACAGAGGCACTTCCTGAAAATATAGTAACAAGGCCCAATGTATCAAATTCCTTGTGGCAAGAATACTGATACAGCCAAATTACATTTCCTCAATTGTTTTCTCCCAGGGAGCAAGATGAATGGATCTTCCATTTTCCAGTGAATTGTGGTTGTAGTAAGAGAGATTAATGGGCTAACTACAGCCAACTGGATTTAATTTTCAAGACATCCTGTTAAGATCAGGGTTCGGGATGCCAGTGCAACTGACAGCAGAGTTTGACCTCGCATCTTTGTTCCACAATATTCTTGGCACAATGAACAGCCACAGTACAATCTCTTGAAATGCCTTGTATACATTTTCCCATTGGCCACTGTGGCTGATTTCTGCCAGGTGCTGCATTCTGGTGCATTTCCATATCATTCTGCAAATAGTGATTATTATTTGTTTAGCACTGACAATGTTCCCTGAGCTGTACAGGGCACAAAGATGGAGAGTCACTGAGCCAAAGACCATCCAGTCCATAGCTATGAGTATTTGAATGCCAATGTGTTCATGCTGTAATCCCCCAGGGACTGCATACTCTGGGATGCTGCTGCTGTGCAATTTGCAGTGGGATCTCCCGTCTGGGAAGCAGCTTGTGCTGCATATACCAGCATTTAATTTACAGTTAATTTCCAGTCTAGGCTTGCAATGAAAATCTCCCAAGAAAACGAACAAAGTTTAAAATGATGCAGAGATTTCTGCCTGAGTCTGCAGACAGCCTGAAACCATAGCTTTAAGAGATTTGGATCATCATCATGTGAGGTGTTAGGTCTGAGACC